TCCGGTCGTCCTCAATTTGATACGTTTGGTGAGGGCATAATAATCACTTCACATACGGAACTCCAATATTACTTGTCTCTGTTGAACCAACAATTACCCATCGAAAGCCAATTCATCAGTAAATTGGCCGATAATTTGAATGCGGAAATAGTTTTAGGTACTGTTCGAAATCGTGACGAGGCAGTACAATGGTTAGGATATACATACCTGTACATAAGAATGTTACGTAATCCAACACTATATGGTATCTCTCTGGATCAATTGGACGAAGATCCCTATCTTGAACAAAAACGAGTCGATTTGATACATTCTGCAGCTTTACTGTTAGACAAATCTAATTTAATAAAATATGACAAAAAGACTGGTAGATTTCAGGTTACAGAATTAGGTCGAATTTCTTCACATTTTTATATTACACATACGTCAATGGCAACCTATAATCAACATCTGAAACCTATGATGGGTCATATCGAATTGTTTCGAGTATTTGCACTTTCTGACGAATTTAAGTACATACCGGTTCGTGAAGAGGAGAAGCTAGAGTTGTCAAAATTATTAGAACGTGTACCGGTCCCCGTTAAAGAAGGCATTGAAGAGCCGACTTCTAAAATAAATGTTCTTTTGCAAGCCTACATTTCACAACTCAAGCTGGAAGGTTTCGCCTTAGTTTCAGATATGGTTTATGTTACCCAGTCAGCAAGTAGAATTCTCCGAGCTATGTTTGAAATTTGTCTCAAGCGTGGTTGGTCACAATTGTCGAGAAGGGCTTTAGATTTATGTAAGATGGTAGAAAAACGCATGTGGCTCTCAATGTCACCTCTACGCCAGTTCAAACAAATCTCATCGGAGGTTATCAAAAGAATTGAAAAAAAAGATTTTCCCTGGGAAAGATACTTTGATCTCAATCCTCAAGAAATAGGTGAACTTGTTGGTATTCCAAAAGGTGGCAAAACTATATACAAATACGTGCATCAGTTTCCCAAACTAGAATTGCAAACTTTCGTGCAACCTATTACTAGGTCATTATTGAGAGTTGAGCTCAAAATCACACCGGATTTCCAATGGGAAGAACAAGTTCATGGGACAGGAGAAGCATTCTGGGTATTGGTTGAAGATGTAGATGGAGAAGTAATTTTATATCATGATTCCTTTATTCTCAAGCAAAAATATGCTGAGGAAGATCACATAATAACATTCACAGTCCCATTGTTTGAGCCTCTTCCGCCTAACTACTTTATATCTGTAATAGCTGATCGATGGTTACATTGTGAAACAAAATTGCCAATCTCTTTCAGGCATTTGATACTGCCAAAAAAGTATCCACCTCACACTGAATTGCTTGATTTGCAACCTTTACCCGTTACGGCCTTACGTAATCGCGAGTACGAAGCCGTATATAGTGAATGGGTTGATAAGTTTAATCCTATTCAAACTCAAGTATTCAATGCATTGTATAATTTAGATGATAATGTGTTTGTCGGTGCTCCTACTGGAAGTGGAAAGACTGTATGCGCCGAGTTTGCACTTCTTCGTTTGTGGTCGAGGCCAAACCATGGAAGATGTGTTTATATTGCACCATTCCAAGAGGTTGTTGATCTTCAATTGATCGAATGGAGACAAAAATTTGGTAAACTACAAGGTGGAAAAAATATAGTATCGCTTACCGGGGAGACAAGTGCGGATCTTAAATTGTTAGAAAACGGTGACGTAATTTTTGCAACACCTACTCAATGGGATGTTATGTCTCGTCGATGGAAACAACGAAAAGCCGTTCAGTCTGTAGCATTGTTCATTGCTGATGAATTACATTTAATAGGGAGCGATGTGGGGCCAACTTACGAAATTATTGTATCACGAATGCGTTATATTGCTCATCAAACAAAAAATCCGATTCGCATTGTTTGTTTGAGTACATCTCTAGCCAATGCTCAAGATCTTGGTGAATGGATAGGCGCAACACCACACACTATTTTTAATTTCCATCCTAGTGTTCGCCCTGTACCTTTGGAGATCCATATTCAGAGTTATAATATTCCACATTTTGCTTCATTGATGATGGCGATGGTCAAACCTACTTACGCCGCGATTACTACATATTCATCCGATCGACCCGCTATTGTATTTGTACCGTCGCGGAAACAATGTCGTCTAACTGCCGTTGATTTGCTCACATATTGCGCAGCTGATGGGGTAACAGATCGCTTTTTACATTTACATTCTAAGGATGTAGAAGGTCTATTGGAAAATGTCAAAGATGAGGCTTTAGCTGAGACTCTCCGTCATGGAGTTGGTTTTTAGCATGAAGCACTCGGAAAACAGGACAAGAGAGTTGTGGAACAATTATTTGAAATCGGTGCAATTCAAGTTGTTGTCGCGTCGCGCGACACTTGTTGGGGCTTGAATCTGAGTTGTCATATGGTTGTCATTATGGGTACACAATATTTTGAAGGTAAAGAGCACCGATATGCAGATTATCCAATAACGGATGTACTTCAAATGATGGGTAGAGCTTGTAGGCCACGTCAAGATGATACAGGTCGTTGTGTATTAATGTGTCAGGCTATCAAAAAAGATTTTTATAAAAAATTCTTGTACGAAGCCTTGCCAGTAGAGTCACACTTAGATCATTTCTTACATGATCATTTTAACGCAGAAATAGTTACAAAAACTATCGAAAATAAACAAGACGCTGTAGACTATCTTACATGGACATTTTTGTACCGTCGTATGGTTGAAAATCCAAATTATTATGGTATGCAAGGTTCAGATCATAGACATTTATCGGATCACTTGTCAGAATTAGTGGAAACAACAGTAAATGACCTTGCAGCTTCAAAATGTATTATGCTTGAAGATGAATTGGAGGTTTCACCACTTAATTTGGGCATGATAGCAGCTTATTATAATGTCAGCTACATTACAATTGAAATGTTTAGCATGAGTTTGAATGAGAAAACAAAACTCAGGGGACTTTTAGAGATTATTTCTTCTGCTGCGGAATTTGAAACTATTCCTGTTAGGCATCATGAAGATACTGTTCTCAAGAAAATATATGATCGTCTTCCTGTCAAGCTCGGTAATCCTAAATTTAATTCCCCGCATATTAAAACAAATATTCTTTTACAAGCACATTTTTCAAGAACACAATTGCCACCAGACTTACAATCTGATCAAACTACTGTTTTGGGCAAGGTTAGTTATTTATAAAATTATATTAATAATATCTTTAGTAATAATGCTAAATATATTCTTTCTGATATCACAGGTTATTCCCTTAATTCAAGCAGTTGTTGATGTAATAAGTTCCAATGGATGGCTAAATCTTGCATTGTCAGCCATGGAACTAGCACGGATGAATGTTCAAGCAATGTGGGATAGAGACTCTCCATTAAAACAGATTCCATATTTTACCTCTGAAGTCATTAAACGATTCTTGCTTATTTCATTGAGGATACAAAGCATGGCAACATTAGTTTTACCTAATAGTATGATTTTAGTTATAGTTA